ATATATATATATATATATATTCTTATTACGCAAATATACTTCCCGGATGTCAATCTGTTAAGTGTATTTTTGTATGAATAATTAGGAAGATGATTAACGTGAACAACATTGATTGCGATACATTTTGTTAAATTATACTAGTTTTATCTGATGAGAACGTTCGATAAACAACAGGATAAATGTGGTGATTTCACGGTTCAATCTAATTAACAAATGTTAAGGATGAATGAAAAAATACGCAAATAAAGAAGACTCAACTCAGACTTGAGGCCACTTGAGCCGATTTCAAAATGAATATTGTTTGTAATCACACTGGAAACTTAAAGGCCATTTAGACTCTCTCACCCAATTCAAAAAATATTAATTTGTGGACAACTATTAGAAATTGTCTAGTATCTTCATTGTTTCCTATTTTCGGTATCTTAATGGCATCAAACTATAACCCACGTAAATTACGTTTTATGCGATACACGTTCTGTTGATGTTATGACGGATTAATGGCGACATGTAATACCTCTTCCGTTACAGTTATTTGATTAAAAACAGTCATTAATATACGTAATAGCAATCAAGACGCAATGGGAAGTATATAAAGGGGAAAAACATAATTTATTTGGCGCCATTCATTCCATCTAGTTACTCGACTCTAAGGACTGCGCGTACAGTTCGCCGCATTCTCTTACTTTATGTTGCACGAACGTGTTGAGACTACGTGTTTCCTCACGGTTTCTACGTAAACTAGAATTTAACAGCGTCTTGTATGAACAAAATACAAGAATGTACCCGTGAGTGTAGTTGCTAAGTACAGACACTTTCAACTCTGATTGTGCATCTCCTATTTAGTTAATATACGCATGTGACCGTTTAGCTCTACACGGTCTTAAATACAGGTTTTAGTTAAGAACAAGGGTTGATGTGATTAGTTGCACACACCTCTGAGGTGTATTATATCAGGTTGATTGAAAGCGGAACTGGCAATAACATTTCTTAGACTCTCAACTTCAATGGCATATTTCAATCGTTCAAATGACAGGAAGTGACCTATTTACTTATTTACGAATCACTTCGCAAGTGCTAAATCCACGTAGGCGACTACTATGACGAAACCAAAAGTAAAATATGTGCGTTATGAACAAGATAAATATATTAATCGTAAATGTAACACTACAACGTCGGTTATCCGGCCGAATGCTGACACAATTTTACGACGCCCTTCAACAATGCAACAGTGTAATACAGTACACGAGTCGATTAAATATGTAAGTATTATATTAAAGAAATACGCATAAATAATACACTTCACCCGTTAGCTATAAGGGCGTATGACATGCATGATACAGTATTCCATAATACTCTTTGCTCATTGACACGGAAAACGTGATAAAATATACGAATTAACTGTTTGATTGATTAGGAACACATACGTACGTTCATTTGGTCATTTACCGTGTACGCAAATAATGAACACGCTCACCTGGCTAAGCCATGTCAAATGAGAATTAGATGTGTTTTCGTGAATTAATGAAGTCTCACTATTGAAGTTACTGTTTTTTTTTGTTTTTTTTTTTCAAATATTAATAATAAGTGTACATGAACGTAATTATTCATTGGGTTACTTATAAGAAGATAACGTAGTATATGCACACGTGTACTGGAACGAATTGCACATTTTAGTGCTGAATTATGTATATGTTCTTGTGTCAAGTCACGATTTTCGGTTTTGTAAATAACAGTATATTATATTTCGTATTTGTATATTCGGCGATATGTTGCACATCGACTATGCCGCCCACGTCTTTGTTATTTACCACGCTTTTATTATCGACTATACATTTATTACTGATTTTAAACCGATAATCTTGTCACGGTCGTGAGTCAGGCATCAATCGTGTTATTTAAGCCCGATCTTAGTGATACATATATCGTTATAACAACCGCTATGACGGGAGCATATTATTTGATCAGTACTTGGGATCTGCCGACGTAAACTGTGAGTATGACGCTTAAAACCACGTGATGAATATACACGTCAATTGGCTACGCTGGGGTCATGCAGCACTTTTTGTGAGTAATGTGAGATTGCGCATATGCAATACATAGCCAGTGATCGGACGATGAACACGATCAATTGTTGCATGTTGGAGCTGCCATTGGAGGCTGTAACCATAGAGATGGCAGAATTAATAATGTATCGTCCATCTCTAGCCATGGCAATCACCGGGACCTAGCGTGCTATCAACACCGGAGGTGATTGCTTCGACAAAGTGCTACTGCAATCGGTCGACGACATAAAGCCCTACGACTCTCCGTGCTCACGGCCGCACGTGTGTTTAGGGTTTTTCAAAAGCAACACCTTTCTGTGTTTTGAACATTCGTTCACGATATGAAGATGCATATTGTTAACCCATGTACAGCGATCAAGAAATGCGTTCGGAGATGACAGCGACATAGATTAATTCATGACGAAGATGGAAAATACATCGTATTCCACTAACACAACCGATACAACAACTACGTTCAATTTAACCACGCAGTTACTAACAACGCTGTATGCATCAACAGCACGGGCGTATCATCAACAATCAACGGCACTTGAGAATTCAACAAACGCTACGATAGAGTACGACGAAGAGGAAGGCGACACTTCTTCCAAACTGACGCTTGCACTGTTAGGCCTATTGTTCAGTGTGTTTATTATTGTGACGATCGTGGCCAACCTCCTCATCCTGGTAGCCTTCGGAACGCACGAGAAGTTGAGGCATCGTCCCACGAACCATTTTTATGCCAGCCTGGCTATTTCAGACTTGGCCGCCGGGTTGCTGGTGCACCCACTCGCCGCCTATGACAGCTTGCTCGACATGTATGGTTGGCAGTTAGGTAAAGTGTGTTGTATTGCTTGGCTATCCATTGACTATTTTGTATATAACGCATCTATCTACTGTATGTGTGCCATATGTTTGGATCGTTATCTATGTATTGTCCACGCCGTATACTACCGAAATAGAAGGTCGACGAAAATTGTTCGCAATATGAACATTGTAGCCTGGGTTCTTGGCTTTATTGTGTCTGTTCCAGCCATGGTGTTGTGGGATACATTGGTAGGCTACTCTATAATCGATTACGGTACAGAGTGTTTTGAAGAATGGATGGACAATATGCCTTATGTTATTGCTAACATGGTACTCACCAGTATATTGCCATTTTTGATAATATCCTTACTCTATCTGAGAATCTACATCGCAGTAAGGGAGGGCTCGAAATCAAAGGCCCAACAAACATATACAGTTAGTGAAAACGGAAAAATAGTTGAATTATCTGAAAGGGGTGAAACCCGTGGGCCAACTATAACTGAGAGGGCAGTGGGTACCTATCCGATTCCAATAGAGGAAACACGATCAAGGGAAAATACAGATAATCATGGAGAGCAGAGTAGCACCCCGGAAGCCGAGAGTGCGAATGTGTATACAAACAATACAACTTTTAATCATATCGGTGGTGATAATCCGGTGTTTGTAATAGACGATCACCTAGATAACATACCCTCAAAGAACAAGTATGTGAATAAGGACACAATATTAACGAATACTGGTATAGACAGACGTTTGTCGAATAATACAGTCGAAAAAAGCACAACGAACGTAAACAATGGAATAAACGATATTGCCAAGCTTACTGTGGCCACAGTTTCACCAAAATATAATGTGAAGTCTCGTGTATACTCTAAACGGACCAGAGACAGACGAGCAGCAAAGGTGTTGGGTCTGTTGGTGGGGTTCTTTTTGTTATCGAACATGCCGTTGACAATCGCTATGATTTGGGATTCCTTTTGCACGTCAGTATGTCTGCCTTCTACTCTGCTGAGCATTGCTTATTGGTTGCAGTATTCCAACTCTATTGTCAATCCCTTCTTATATGTTTACAACGATAAGGAATTCCGAAACGCTGTTGTCAGAGTTGTCATGGGAACACTGTGTTACTGTCGGTTATAGCATGGACACAACGATCTAAGCGAGTATTCAATGAGTCTTACTATAGTTCAAAACTCTTTATACATTTGCACCGTGCTATCGAATTACGTTTTAATGTATCATTTTCACTAAAGGTTATCGACATCGTATTGGTATACATTAAATCGTACATGTAGACACTAGAACGAACGTGAACGTGCTGATACCTTATTTTCTTTGATTAGCGTTTAATCTTGAAATCAAACATGCGCCACACACGCAACTTGTAGACACGGGGAAAACCAAAGATCAGTCATTTTTTTTTACAAATTGTTCATTCGACAAATACAGAAGTAAACGTAATACAAATGTCAGATAATAATTACCACATTGCCAAGCAATGTACTGCTAATATCACAGGGTAACCCGGGATAAAAATAAGCTATTTTTACAATTTTGCATTTTAAAGAAATAATTACACTCATTATCGCGATGACTAAACTGCGATCGATAAAAACAGAGCAACAACCTGAAGATCGTTAGACCAGCTGCCGAGAGAATTGTGTTACAAGGGAATAGTTAGAACTGCGTAATCATGTAATTCGAGCACATATTGTAACAACTTGCCAAGAGGTAGGCAGACTCATATATTTATTAACCACTTGCCTCTAGTAAGACAAAATACCACACAACAGATGAAACCTACACATAAATTTCGACTGTCAATTGCACTACGATTAAATTTGAAATCTGTGGAAATCAATATGTGCGGGTAAAAATCAAAATGTTTTCAACCTGGAACGAAGCTGTCAGCAGCGCCATATGTATGCATATTGCGGATACGGTTGTGGCAAGTTTGTTTTGGCGTGACGACAGACATTCGACAGACATTATTGCACACGCAAAAATGTTTACGCACACAAAACACTCAAAGATAAACAACATTTTTAAATACGTACTCCAAACAGGAGACGTAACGTGTTTGTTTGTGATTTAATATATTTACTGATTTACTGCTGCATGTGTACATGTCAATGATAATCGATACTACTGGTAGATGTCGCAATGAACATGTATATCAACAATTCATGTGTGGACATTATAAGCAGCCTTGCTACAAGGCAAGCAGTGGTTTATACACAACTGTAAACCCCTCAATAGTATACGACATAATTAATTCAACAGTCACTACAATCCTCGCATGTAATACTTGATTTTGTTATGGCGATGATATAAAACGCTGTATGTAAAATGCAATTGTGAAAAAAATGCCCAAAGAAATACGTTTTGACACGCCTTTTGCGGTTTTTGTTTATAAACCACGTTTATTAGTTGCACACTGGAGAATTAATTATTTACTTGGAATACGTATGAACAAATCTAAAACTGTAAACACATGAAAATAGTTGGTTTATATAAGAATAATCTGTTATAACAATGCAATTGAACGCATGCTTTAAACACGTATAATGTCCACGACATATGCGCATATAAAATATCACTGTATCGATGAGAAAGATTTTAATGAATTGCCGCCGAGATATTGCAACTTATTCACACGGGAGTACACTGTGTATAATACGTTTATTTACCATTGTCTTTACGGGCAGGAATTTTTTAAACTCAATGCTGTTTCGCCGGTTACTTTTCGTATTTAGATTAACACAGATTTAATTATAGTTTCATAAAGGGAAACAATCGGCAAATGCTTCTGAAGTCCATGTACTAACATTTCGTCCACTGATTTATTGTATTGACTAGCCATTTTTTATTTAAATACGCGACCCATGAATTAACGTTATGGTCGCATTATATGAAAGCGATGGTGTACTTTGCCTAGCCCGAATTGCTTGAAATTATTGTCTAATTTATTGACGCAGAAATAGCGCAGGGATTGAACGGTACAAAATGAACTGTGCGCTACTGGGGAAGGTGGCCAATATCTGTAAACATGCGCATTTGAAATACAACGCTTGGCGAACTTTGCTTCGCAATGATAGGAAGAGCCAACATCGGAGGATCAAAAAGCGACGTCGCTATGAAAGCTTAGCAAAACGTTCCTGCCAATTTGTGTTTTAATGTACGTCGCGAGATCGTCACGAAATGAACCGATCCAGTAATTGACATTCACTGGGGACGGTGCATAATATCACAATGCTCAAGTTGTTGGCTAACACTAATGATGAAAGGCGCTCAGAGACCACCTCTACCTCTACAACAGCGCAGTAGTGAGTTGTCTTTTTTCAAAGTCACTTTCGCGAATTTAGAAATTTCAATACCAACTCATTCTTGTAATGCATTGACCATTCAGTACAAGTGTAATATTGCGAGATGTCCATATGCTTTCAATGTACTATATGTAAGTGAAATTTAGATAGCAAGCATATACTGGACTACCCAGTGTGAACGTGAGAAAGTGGATAAAAGGAGTATGTCGGCCTCATCAATACAACGCACGTCTCAAATGTACAATTGTTTCTGTGATTTATATTGCTAACGAATATATATGGATCACGTTGCATACGTTTCTGTACATGAAAAATGTATGAACAAAAAGACGACATTCAAGTGAATTCAATCAAATTGCGTCCACAAAATACAAATGACCTACAACTAAGCAAAACGACGAGCTCTTTAATTTGATAATTCCCACTTGAGGTTAATTGACGTTTATATCAGCTTCTCAAATATGCGAATTCAATTAATGCAGAATGTTTGGTGCATTCCATCAAGAGTTTATTTTTCACATTGTAATGTGACCATCTAATGTTTACATTATATATACCACAGGGTCTTTTACTACTATTTTTAGTTTTCTTGTCAGATCATCAAATATATGCAACTGAACGGCTGTTTTGGTCAAATGCCAGTTGTCTCATTGCCAGGTCTTGTGATTACACAGGCTGCATTCCTCTAGTGTTTCGCATGCAATGAATACGGTGTAGGTTTCATATAGGCTCACCATGCGTAATTTATTTTACACTAAAATGCATAACACATTCCAATGCTAATCGACACGACACGACCACGTACTGTGGTAGGCAATTAATTTCAAACAGCGTGATCGAAACGAGCTGCTGTTACAACAAAAATCATTTAATCAAACGAGGCACCCTATTGAGCAATTTTACTGAGAAAACTGAATTTATTTTCAACATACCGAAAATATGTTTTTCTGTTGACCTTGGTATTTATCTCTGAACAGGGAGGAAGCGTATTATGTAATGTAACTGCAACACATATTTTGTGTCAATAGATATATTGTCAGTAAACTCGTTTCGATTAAAGCGCCCGTAAAACACTCGCTGCTCTGATGTCCTAAGCCACTCAATGGACCCAATTTCTCGTTGTCCGTTTAACAAATCTTCGAATCATTGATGGTGATTCAGACCAAATTCTCATTAATTCGCGTATTGTCCATGTGGCTTCTTACAATTTTATATTTTTGGCTGAAGTTTAATGTGCATAATTCAACATGGAAGTTATAATAAGTGGTTAAATGTTTGAGTTATGATGTCTGTTCACAAGTGTTCGGTGATCACAGTACTTGAATCTGTAACGATTTCACCAAAACACGAACTGAATGCATTTATCCAGGAAATACAATAGTAATTATTGGGTTTTTCTTGAGATAATGCTTAAATATTTTTAAAGATTAAGGTTTTTTCAATCATTTCATAAACGATCGAATACGTGACTTTAAGTATTTCATTGGAGAATCACTCATCCCTATGTCATGTTTGATGTGTAAGATCCCAAGCTTTTTACTTAAACATAGATCCTTATTTGAATATATCCAATTCATCATAACTATTTGTGGAATATTCTTTTCGTGAGACTTTGTTCTTAAATAGAACGGATTGCGATACACTTTTTCTTTGACGCAAATTTACTCTGTTTTTATTAAATCGTAAAATATTCTGTTAATTGCCAATACATGTTTGTTTGTTTACAAATTCTCATTCCAGAGAGGCAGAAGCTGGACCATGTATGTGTTAGTGAGCATTTCTCATTCATTTTAATTTCAACACATTTATCTGCATTAGGAATCATACACATGAACACACCAATTGTACGTGCTATTTTGACGTAGTCAAAATCAATATTAATTTAGATTCCGGGTAATAATATTGTTGGGCCTATGATTGACTTCCCATTACAGTGATTAGTAATTTAGGTAAATCTATATATTAGATATAAATATGTGTATATCCGAGTAATTGTACTTTTTTGTGCGCATGCGTGTTTTTGGTTCATTGCATATGAAATATTCATGGGAAATATTTATAACAGTGAAATGAAAATCAATTGCACACTTGGTAAGCAAAATCAAATCACAAGATTGTATTTTATTTATACAATGAAATGATAACAATTCATTTAAAATTGATGCCGTGATAAATTATATTATAATTGAGAGTGCGGTCACCATCTTTAGTGTGGTCTGTTCCACATTATATACATATGACATTGATATAGGCTGACCATATTCGCCGAAAAGTTTTCAATTAGGTATTTTGAACGTAATTCCCAGAGAGTGTTCAGTTAGACATTATCATTGTTATGAAGTATCCATCTCATATGTCTACAGATACAATTAATATAGCTCGTAGTAATAATCCTGAACAATTACAATCATGTTATTGTGCATTTTACTAGTTTTATCATAAGGCAATTGTAACAGTTTGTGTTTTCCATATCTACTGGATAACATACAATATGCTATCAGTATATTCGAAGACTTGTGTCAATGACTCGTTTCAAAGACGGAAAACATCTCAATATTCCATTATCTCATAGACATTGATCGTTTTTAATGTGAATATTTTTAGGCAAATGATGCTATGACAGATGTAATATGTTTTTCCTATGTCTAATCTGTTATGTCTACAACACACAAGTGCCTCTTGAATAATTAACTCATAGTCAATTTTATATGTTCTATTGATACCCCCCTATCTCCTTGTTTAAGTGCTAAATAAAATATATTAAAATATATCCTTCCTGCTTATATGGACCCATAAGTACATATTAATATATAA